AAAATATTGACATGCGATGCGTTCACGCCGTCTAGATGCCGAGCAATGATTTGCAGGTATATGCGTTGAGTCAAGCAGCCTTCTTATATGGTCTGCTGCATCTCTTCCTGCTGGTTTGTTCGTGTTGTTCATTCGCTCACTACTGTCATTCATTCATTGCTTTCGTAGCATTTACATTCGCTTTTCCATCAATATACAGGCCGGCCTCTGTTTTTTACCTTCGAACAAATAACTTCAAGATGTTTGCTAAGACTACTCTCATGAGCGCGATGCTCAGCGCTGCGTCCGCCGGTAAGCCATCTAGATCGTTCAGTAATCCGACAACAACTAACAACGCATTCAGAGATGATCTGGGACGGTCGCTTCAACGACTATGCCTCCTCTGCCGACATCGCCAAGTGGTCCTTCTCCAACCCCGTCGGCGCCTACCAGTACTACATTCACGGCTCCGGCCCCGTGACCGACTACGTCAACCTTGACACCACCTTCAAGAACCCCGCCGACACTGCATCCAAGCAGGGTGTCAAGATCACCATCGACGAGACCGCGAAATGGAACGGCCAGACTATGCTGCGCACCGAGCTCATCCCCGAGACCAAGGCAGCCATCAACAAGGGCAAGGTCTACTACCACTTCTCTATCAAGACTGCCGCCGAGAACGCCCCGACGGCCACCAACGAGCACCAAATCGCTTTCTTTGAGTCTCATTTCACTGAGCTCAAGTACGGCGCCTCGGGCTCATCCAACACCAACCTGCAATGGCACGTTGGTGGCGTCTCCAAGTGGGACGTCGAGCTCGTTGCCGACGAGTGGCACAACGTTGCCTACGAAATCGACTTCGATGCCGGCTCCGTTGCCTTCTGGCACTCGACTGGCAGCGATGAGTTGAAGCAGACTGCCGGACCTTTCGATGCTAGCACCTCTTCCGATGGCAAGGACTGGCATCTTGGTGTTCTGAGGCTGCCCGGTCAGGCCGACAAGGACGGTGCTGAGGATTGGTTTTTCAGCGGTGTGTACATCGAGGACGGAGAGCTTACTACCAAGATTGGTGGTGGAGCTGCGGGTGCGGCTCCCGAGAAGCCTGTCCCCACTACGATGTCTAAGGTCGTCTCTTCTGCTGCTCCTGCTGCTACTTCCTCCAAGGCGGCCGCTAGCTCTTCCGTCGCCGCCGCTGAGACTCCTGCTGCTTCTTCCAGCGCTGCTGCTTCTTCGGTTGCCGCTCCTATCAAGACTCCGGCTGCGTCCTCTTCTGCCGCCGCTACCAGCGCTGCTCCTGTCGAGACTCCCGTCGCCTCTTCTACCTCATCTGCCGCCCCTGTTGCTAAGCCTACTGGCAGCGCCGGATCTGACGCCGTTCTCCCCGAGGAGTTCACCATCGCTCAGTTCGTCGCATGGCTCAAGGCCAAGACTGGCAAGAACTAGGCGCGTCTCCAGCGTGAGTGCACCTCCGAGCAGTCGGCCACTTGGCAACCCATACATTCTTGTAGATATTCTTCTTCCTTGTTAGCTGTCGCAATATATTCTCTGCAGCTCTTGTCTCATACCTTGCTCGCAATGGCAGTGGACATTGCTGTTCAATTACCATGTCGACTCGTTTCATGCGTTCTTGTCGACAAGTTCCTTGGTTTCGCATTAAAGTTCAACCATCTCATCTGACATCGTCCTTTCCTCCCCTCTCTTCTGCTTAACTCCGCCACCTCATCATCACTTCCCACGTGTACAATTGCCCCGACGTCGGTGCGTTCTCACCCGCGACCCCTGCAAAGGCATTGCCAAGATTCTGATCGGGTAGGATGATTTACAACGTCCTATTCTAAGAACCGCGAACGCGGAGATGCGGAGGTCTGTCCGCATACCTTGTTCGCGGTAGAAGGCAACGGCACGTGTTCAGCTGACGCCGAGAGTCTCGACCTATGGACCACGATATCAGTTTCGAGTGTCGCCGAATTGCGCATACTTTCAGCAGACCGGAAGCGGTAGGTAGGGAAGTCAGCAGTTCCGAGCCGTTGCATCCGTCGAAGAGTGGTGGAAACCACAACCGCCGTTGCAACCGGAAATACTATGTAAGCCGGCTTCTACCATCTAGACACTTCCAAGGCCGTGTGGCGCTGCAGGCATTGGATTAGTATCCAGCGTTTCGACGTTCTGTCATCATCCGAGTATGAGGCCGAGTTGCTACGCTGCGAACGCGGCCCGACCAATTCATCCTGAGTTTGCTCTTGGGGCTGTGTTACATCATCTCGTTCTGTTGCAGGTAGCCTTTTCTCAGTCGAAAACGAAGCATCTATGACACTGATACCTTCTTAAGGTAGCTGTCTAGGTAGATACGAAACGTCCGCGACGATCCCTAGGTGAAAGCGAACCAATTGCGATAATGTCCGCATTGACGATCGAATTTCTCGATCCCACATCAACGATTTCCTGCAAGATGAGAGGGGAATTTGTAGGGACTCGCCGGGCTGTCAGTGAAGCTTGTCAGGCCCGCACAGGGTGCACACGAGGCCGTGCGCTATTTCCGAATCGAGTCGGGACATTTCATTCTGAGAAAGCCTCGAAGATCTCAGACACAAGGTTTACGGCAGAACGCTGCCTAAAAAATACGAATGCGAAAGCTGCGAAAACAACCTTTGCGATGTGTGCTACCTCAGGCTGGGATCGACCATGGACAAACATTGGGCGCGGCCGTTGGATGCCACGTGAATGCGTGGCGCACGCCAAGATAAGGTTCGCTAAACATGGTGCTACCAAGTCCCACGCGCCCGGTCCTACCTGGGTGACGTCGGCCAAATGTAAGCATCCCAGCCTCATATTCGTCGCGACGTATCGCTCGTCGTACAACAGCCGCATCTCAAACGGCGCATCTAACCCCTTCCCAGCTTACCTGGCCAATGCATTTGCCTCATCTGGGAGCAACGTCCCTCGAACAAGGCCCGATCACACATGCGAAACAAGGTACGCAAAGGCCTTCTGGCAGCCTTGCAACGAATAATAAGCAAAGGATGGTGAAGAACAGGTCGTGATCCGACCCCGGGGAACGACGTACGCGACTCTAGGGAGCCGGGACAATCATCCGCAACGTAGTCCAGACCCTCCGGTGGTCTCTAAGCCGAGCACACATTCTACAATGCAGTTTCACCGTCCGGAGTTACTTTGCGAAGACCAACTCAAGCGTCCGCTCATGCAGGATAGTAAACTCACTCACAGCTGCCGCTGGTCTCCGGGGCTAGAGCAATGCCAGTCGACATGTGTATATAAGCCCAGCGAAAGATGCAGTTACAAAGCATCAACCTCAAAGACCTCATTCTAGTCATACAATCCCCACTCCTCACTCTGTTCTGTCATTTCAACTTTTCCTTCCTGTCACAACACACATCGCAACATCACGAGGATGTCTACTCGCACCATCATGAGTAGGCCAGCTAAGATGCGCGCCCTTTGCCGGGCCTCCAATCGATTCGAGTCGAGCTCAGTCAGGAGATTGGCAACCATGGCCGACTACAAGGCTACCCAATACAGCAACCACCCCATGGGTGCTATGCCACCTGGTCACAAGGCCGTTGTCGGCAATCTCCAGACATTCGAGCTCCCTGAGACTCTCAGTGGCAGTGCAGCAGACAAGGCGCTTGGCAAGAGCATGATTGACGCCTGGAAGAGAGACGGTATCCTCCAGATCTCCATGGATCCCATCAACCGCAAGCTCGCTGATGCGGCATTCCTGTGCAGCAAGAAGTTCTTCGGCCTCGACTACAAGCAAAAGGCAGCTTGCTTGGATGACCAGTCTTTCGCTGGCTACATCGCTTCCGGAGAGGAGATCACAGACAACATCGCCGACTACAGCGAGATCTTCACTGTCACCAAAGAGCTCGCACAGACTGATTCCCGTGTTCAGCAGAAGTGGCCGTGCCACGGTCCCAACCCATGGCCGTTCACTCAGATGAAGACTATCATGCAAGCTTACATGGACTACCTTGGCGAGAGCGGCGAGAAGATGCTGTCACTCATCGCCTGGGGCCTTGGATTGGAGGACGGCAATGCCCTGACCAGGTACACGCAAGATGGCTGGCACCACATGCGTGTTCTGCGCTTCCCCCAGACCGATAAGACCAACGGCAAGGGCAAGGCTGGTCGCGGTATCGGTTCGCACACTGACTACGGTCTGCTTGTCATCGCCGCCCAGGATGCCGTGGGTGGCCTGTTCATCCGCCCCCCGATTGAGGGCGAGGAGTATGCCAACTGGAAGACGACCGCAGCCGGCAAGCACGAGGACACTGATGGCTGGGTCTATGTCCCACCCACCCCCGACGTCTTCACCGTCTTCCCCGTAAGTCACGCCAATCGACAAGTTCGAAAACAGAACCTTACTAACCACCATTCCAGGGCGACATGATGCAATACATCACCAACTCCTTCCTCCCCTCCACACCCCACAAGGTCGGCCTCAACACCCGCGAGCGCTTCGCCTTCGCCTACTTCCACGAGCCCAACTTCTCCGCCGTCATGAAGCCGCTTCCAGGCTTCCAGGCCGGTCAAGAGCCTACTGAGGGCATCCACTACGGCAAGCACTTCACCAACATGTTTATGCGCAACTACCCGCAAAGGATTACTGCCGAACGCATGAAGGCCGAGAACAGGATGGCGCTCTTGGACTCGCCTGAGCTCCGCTGGAAGGATACACCGGCTATGGCTGACACAGTCCGCACTGTTCCTTACGAGGCGATCACTGAGACTGAGGTCAAGTCGGCAAGTGAGAAGACGGCGTCTCTCTAGATGTTCCATTTGTTTGTCTTTTCTTTCCACCAGTTTGTTTCTTTTGTATGCATGTGTATGCCTGGGATTGGGAAAGGCGCAAGTACTATCAGGGTACGCGGCGCAGCATCTGCTGAGGATAAATTGATATCAAGTCGTCTGTTTCCTTTTTGTTGCGCATTGGGTAGCAAGGGGTATATAACGAAGTCTTGAAGTACAAAGGCATTAGCCCTATGAAATCAAATCAAGTGTTGTTATTTCTCAATGTCCTCTTTCTCAAGTGGCTCAGACCTATCGACAGCACCATTCTGATAGGCGGCTAACACCTCCGCGGGAATCTTGCGCTGCCCAACCGGCAATATCGAGTCCGTATCTAGCGCGTTTCGAATCAAGACTAGTGCATCGTACAAGCTTTGGTACTTCGGTATAGGCAAATCGACAACTCCCTTTTCCATCTTAAGACTCCAGATGTGCATGTACATTAGCACAAGCGCATGTGCCGGCGCGCTCATCGGCGTGGTAATCCCTTGCTGCATAGTCTCGCTCCAGCCAAACGGCGCGATGGCTTTGAACTGGCCACTCATTGGCCTGTTGACTTCCAACACGGTACCTGCTTTGCGGATCTTGGAGTCGCGGACTACGCGCTTGGTTACGGAGCCGTTGGGGTGTGCTAGGATTTCGCTGTCGCCATATTCGCCCATGCGCAGTGCGACGGTGTTTCCGGTCGCGTTGTAGTCAAACTCAAGGGTGTTGTATGAGGGGATGAGGTCCAAGATTGGACTGGCGTCGCTGCGGACGATGTCGACGAACCTGTTATGGAGTTTCCATGATGCGAGTGACGTGGATTCGGCCATAGTGAGCTTTCGTTGGCGATGCGAGTACGAGGAGTTGCTGAGCAGCAGATGTTTTGTGCGATCGACTCGCTGTCTAGTGATCCAGAAACTAGAACTCACCTTGGGAACTTTGTTCAGCCCTGATAGTGGAGTAGAAGCTACTAGGCAACAATGCGACTTAAGGTCACGGGATGTGTAGAAGTACTTGGGGAAGCTGGAAGAAAGTACCAGTGAAAGGCCGAACACCTACATCGTCTACCCTGTGAGTAAATAGAACTGAATGAGAAATGGAAGAGAAGTACCACAGTAACTGATCGTTAGAAGCATAGCCATCACGAGGTAGCTGATAGAATGGTACAGTTGAAGTTTGTATGTCATTTCATATCATTGGGGAGTTTTCCGGTGCACTCATAACCCATGTCCTCCTTCGAAGTGTCTCATAGCACAGTTGCCGATACCGGGGACCTATACAAGGCTTACCAGGCAAATCCCTTACTCTGATGAACGGGTTAGCGATGAGCCTCACTGGCCTGATGGTTGCTGCATACCATAGTGAAAGTTGCCGTCGTTGTTGACGATGCGCTCGCCCAAGTTGATGTCGCGAGTCTCGGGGTTGCCATCAGCGTCGAAGAGGGTGGCACGGAGGACGGGGACGTCGCCATCTCCCTCAAGTGCGAACTCGATGTTCTCGGCAGAGTTGGCAAAGCCCTCGCCGTCCCAGTGGAAGTTGCCTGATCAGATCAGTATCGATACAAACACCGTGTTGAGGATGAATGTCATTCTTACCGTTGTCGTTGCCGATGCAGGTGTTGAGGTCGATCTCGGCGTCATTCCACTCGCCTTCGGCGGTCTGGAGACGAGCCTTCAACACATGGTTGTCCTCGATGCGAATGTCCTCAGCAGTGTGGTAGAAAGTCATTGTGGAAGGTGTTTGGGTGGTAGTTGACTTGATGTAAGGAGTCGAATGAGGCTAGAAAGTGTTCAAGTGTGTGAGACGAAGAGTGAGGTTGATGAGAACTCCACAGTGTGAGGAGGAAGCTGAGGGCTTTATGCAAGATCGTCGGCCGAGTACCGGCAGCCCCACGACGTGGATTGAAGTCACAGTGACCCATAGGCCAAGCCAACAAGCATTGCGTAGTCCAGATCCACCACTTGTGCAACTCCATGGGCGCGGTAGAAAGCCATGGCCACTCTTGAGTCTTACCATCTGCCCTTGAATTCCCAATGATGCCGTGCCGAGTGCCGGCTTGGAGGCGGTGACTGTTTACACGAGATTGCCAGATTGGGCGAACCACGTAATTCATCGGGTTACACACTGATCATGAGCAGCTGCGTAGACAACCGCCAAGGCAGGGGAGGTTGCGTACAGCCATGTAGGCGCCCCAATTTGCGCCCCGTGGCTGTGTGTGAGTGGCTTTACAGCTGTGGCCTGACCGCAACGTGCATCACGAGTGGGTCTCGTGCATCGTTTGCCAATCAAGCCGTGCAGACGCGATCGTGGCTGTGCAGGAAGGAGAGGATGTTGCGTTCGCGAAGTGGATGCTTGTATGATGATGGCGTCGCGGCTTTCGTCGTTTGCGCTTGGCAGGAATGTGAGGTATGGTGTTGAGGATGAAGAAGGAAGGGCGTCTGACAAGGAGCAGGAGATTCAGGGTGCACGCTAACCCCGCGCTAAGTCCGCACGGGCCGGACCTTCCCCACCCCGTGATGCCAGTCGACTTCTCTCTGTCTTTCGCGCTCGAGCCCGAGGGGTCTTTTCGCGAGGGTACTTTAGTTGTGTACATTAAGGGGGAGATATTTAGTAACAGTAGTTCGCCAGGCTGCTGCGGCGCTAGATAGTTAGCAGTAGACATGGATGAACTAATCGTCTGCCAGTCGACTTCGTCCAACGTATCCTGCCGACAACTAATCGTTCCTTAACGCAGCTTTCACCGCTTTCTACCCAGTGCAACATTTCGACTATGTTTGATCTACTGATACGTCACGACCAGTCTCCCAACCACCTACCTACACACATCGCCGTTCATGAACAAGCCGCTCTCCCATTGCGTTGTGTTTCCAGAGCAACGGGTTGAATGTTGAACAAGCCCTACCCATCTTAGAACAAGGCATCTGAACCTTTGTGTATGCACAATGTAGGTTCTACTCACACAGCTTCATCACCAGTGTGCCAATTCACCAGTGATGACCATGTCATATTTCCAAGCGATCCTTGCCCTTTCAAGAGAAGCAGTCAATCTCCATCAGAACCGCAACTGGAACAGAAAATGCCTCAACGCCCTCGCAGCAAATCGTTACCAATGAAGTCGGGCCTAAAGGGTCTGGACAAGTTACTCAAAGCTGTAGGGCTGACACCCGCGAGCACAACTGCTAAAACCAAACCAACCACTCTGAAAGACCACGACCAGATCAAAGCGATCATAGAGCCCTTCAGACAGATTTGGATGACTGTTCTAGAGAATGTTGAACACGATTGCGTGAAGAACTTCTTTACTGCTCAGAAAAGCGATGTCACCCATTACTATGTCAACATCGCAACAGATCCAAACGGAGACCCGACTACCGCAAAAGGCCGTGCAGCATTCCCACCAAGCGTACCTTACGATCTGCAAACAGCCCTTATGAAGCTCGACCATTGCGACAGGAGTGCTTTTTGTTTCCTATCCTGGATCCAAGAGGCGCTTCGACCTATAGGGGCAACGGCAGAATGGCTCATCATCTACCCATCTCGACACACTAAAATCCATGTCAGTTCCGACCCAGACCACAATGACGATATTCTCCATTCCGTATTCGCAATCACTACCGCTAACCGCGAGCACTACTATGCTGACTTTACGCAAGAACAGTTTGGGTTTGATGCGACAGATTGGTTTGCCCAGAGAGAGGATTACCTTGCGAGACATGCGTATGGCATCGCGCGTATTGCTTCACATGAGGATGAGACTCACACAGGACAGCAAGCTTTTCACTCAAAGAAGGAGTTCGAGCTTGGTATCTATATATATGCCGCTTGCGAAGAGATCAGTTGGCCGGCTTACCGTAGGCTTTCGGCCGATGAGCATATGTCTTGGGTCGATGCTCACACCAGGAAGATCATCGAGGGGAAGGATATCGAAAAGCTTTGGAATGAACTAGGGGTGAGCGATAACGAGGATGAGGCTGATGACGTGTAGTCAGGCTGTCTTTGGTATTACGTGTTGTAATAACAGACTCAAAAATGAATTGAACCTCTCTTTGTGCTTGCCTTCACGATGCAACTACGGTAGCGTATACCCCCCATCAATGACTAAATTCGCCCCAGCTATTCGAGCATGTCAGCAACCTAGTACTCACATAGCAAAGGGAGGGGAAGACTTACTCATATAACTACTCGCGCCACTAGCCAAAAACACATACGCGCCCTTCAACTCCCCCGTCTCACACAGCCTCCCCGCAGGCACCATACCCATCCACTTCTCCCTCCACTCCTTCGGATGCACATCCAGCATATCCGTCGCAATAAACCCGGGAGAAATACAATTAACGCGCGCAAAATCCACCCACTCGACACTCAAACAGCGGGCTAGCTGCACAACACCCGCTTTTGACGCGTTGTACGCTGCCTGTTTCTGCGGGACGTTGACGAGGATAGCGGATACGCTAGCAGTGAAGATGAGGTTGCCGTGACCTTGCTGCTTGAAGATTACGCCTGCGGCTTGCGCGGTGTAGAATGCGCCGTCGAGGTTTACGGCCATGATGCGGCGCCATTGGTCTTCGGTGTAGTCTTCGGCGGGGTGGTGTGTGGCGATGCCGGCGTTTGCGACGACGATGTCTAGGCCGCCGAAGTCTTTTGCGATGGTGTTGATGACGTGGGTTATTTCTTCTTTGTTTTCTACGGAGGCTTTGTAGGCTTGTACTCGCACGCCTGTTGCGGAGGCGATGGATGAGGCGATGGCGTCGGCGTCTTTGGTGCTGGAGTACAAGATAGCGACGTTTGCGCCGGCTTCTGCGAGGGCTTTGGAGGCGGCTAGCCCGATTCCGCGGACGCCGCCTGTTACGGCTGCGGTTTTACCTTTGAGTGAGAATTGGGACGTGACATGTTCGTCTGGGTTAGAGGGCTGCGCGAGAGGCATTGTGGGTGATGGAAGTCAAGGTGTAAAGTAGAAAGGATGCAATGGGAGGAAAGGATCGCAACCAGATTGGCGCACCATGACGGTTCCAATCTTATCGGACGATGGGTATCGGAGTGGGTGTACCTGCTCGGAAAACATACCTACATCATGTGGGTAGGGGTGGTGTCCTTTAGTGCATTGGGGATACACCCCGCGCAGGTTGACGGTTGCCCTTGACCCCACGATCCCCGCACTTGCGCTTCGTCACACCCGACCTGTGTCCAGGTATACTGGTCACGCGCATACAAGATGGAGCTCTCAAAGAACTCAATGAGACGTTGCAGACGATTTTGCAAACAACATGTCTTCCACAACCATCACTGAGAAGGTGAGATGACTGCAGTGTGCTTTTCCAGTCTGAAACTGACCTGTTCTCCAGAACCCGGCCTTCGTCCTTCGTGCCATCAAAGATGTCGCATTCGAGGACCGCGAAGTGCCTAAGCTACGCGATGAGCATGAAGTCCGCGTCCATGTTGCGCAAACAGGAATATGCGGCAGCGATGTACATTACTGGCAGCGCGGCCGCATCGGCGACTTTGTCCTGAACAGCCCCATCATCCTTGGTCACGAAAGTTCCGGAACAGTCGTAGAGGTTGGCTCAGCCGTCAGAAACCTCAAAGTGGGAGATCGCGTTGCCATTGAACCTGGTGTGCCTTGCAGGCGATGCGACTACTGCCGCTCTGGCTCCTACAACCTTTGTAACGATACCATTTTTGCCGCCACACCACCTTGGGATGGAACACTTGCGAAGTATTACACTGTTGCCAGTGATTACTGTTACAAGATTCCAGACCATATGAACATGGAAGAAGCAGCAATGGTCGAACCAGTCTCAGTCGCAGTCCAGATCTGCAAGGTTGCGGATTTGCGAGCGAACCAGACGGTAGTCGTCTTCGGTGCGGGGCCCATTGGGATACTGTCGCAGGCAGTCGCAAAAGCTTCAGGCGCGAAGAAAGTCATTGCTGTCGACATCTCCCAGGCAAGACTGGATTTTGCCAAAGCATATGCGGCAGATGGCGTATTCTTGCCTCAAAGGGCAGAGGAAGGAGCTGACCCTGTCGCGCATTCGGAGAGTATTGCTGCGACCATTAAAGAGCAATTCAATCTGGGCGAGGGTGCAGACATCGTCCTGGAATGCACAGGAGCCGAACCGTGTATACAGGCCGGCATCAATGTGGCGAAGAAGGGCGGCACCTATGTCCAGGCGGGTATGGGCAAGGAAGTAAGTCTGCACCTGAACCGTGTCTCGCTATTCAGTTGCTAAT